GAAACTCAGAAACCCTGGGAGTGTGCAGCCCGGGCATCGTTTTTAAGCTCTGCAAGTGATTCTAATGAAAAGCTAGGTTTGCAAAGCCTCTGGATTAGATAAAAATCCAACATTTTTTTATAGTTAAAATATTTTATGATTTTTATGCTCCAAACAACCATGACTTCAAACTTAATTGGATAAATAAGAATATTCTCCATCACTCGAATTGCATGGCAGCTGCTATGAACACAGGAGTTTCTCAATCAATATTAAACAATTAGTTCTAAAAACATAGGCACTTCTATTTTACATAAGGAGAAATAAATTTTGGGGAAGTAGTGGGCCCAAATCAGTGGCAGAACCTGGCGAAGGTTCTCATTCACCTGGAATCTTCTACAGTACGCTATCTTATTTTCCATATGTGTACAAACTTTTATAGGCAGGTAACTTGCTTCTGTCAGTTCTAGGCAAGAAAAGCCTCAGACTCTCCACACAGTAACACTCTAAATAGGCTTTTCCTTTCATTTCTACATAAAAACAGTGCAATTGGGTTTGTTTGTTTGTTTCTGCATCTATAAAGTTAAGACATGACCAGGTGTCTCATACATAGACATGGAGCGGTATTAAGACTGAAACCTGTGAAGGTGGCAAGCTAAATGTTAACAATCAAAACCGATAAAAGTTAGCTGAACCCTAGGCTTGCAGGGATAACCTCTTTTCTTATTGTCAGGTCTTTGCATCTATGGAAACAAGAAAGCGTCAGCACATTATTGTCAGAAATTCCGTACCCAAAGGGAAATGTGTTTATTTCGTTAGGAATTTCCCCTTTGTTGTAGGTGGAGCCATTGCGGCTCTTGAATGAGAAGCTCTCCCACTTCAAGCCCCTGGAGCACTGTCCTCAAACCTTCTTAAATGCGGGTCAATAAACACAGTTGCTTGGCTTGGATAGTCCTGCTCAGATAAAATCGGTGACACTCTTACTATTTAACTATTTTCCTATGATTTTAGAGCCTAATAAAATAAGCTGACTGAGCAAGAAAGAACAGATACCTCTCAGCCAGGCCTGCCAGAAAGACTTGGGCTTAAATTTACACTGTGGCAGGTACAAAGCTTGGAGATGGTGGTAGTGAGGTGGGAACATCTTCACAGCAGTTCACCTAAAACGTTGAGGGGATAACTGGACAATTATAAAAGAAGAGTCACTGCTATACAAAGTTTTGATTGTGATCCACTTTATTTTATAACTGCATTGTTGGGGCACTTTATGGTAATGTGGAGTTCATCCAATATTTATTTGCATATATATATTTTTTAATACCCAAAGCAATACTTTTACACAGTGTCCTCCCAATAGTAGTCAACATTGGAGATGATTTATACTGTAGCTCAGGGATGCAAGAACAATGAATCAAATCTCAACGCTCCGTAGGTTTTCACAGATACCACTTTCCATGTCTAGCAAAAAGCAGTAACACAGTTTTTAGTCCTTTTAAACAGTTCTTCATCTAAAGCAAAAGAAATAAATTTTGGAAAAGTTCAATTCTGAACCTGTCATGTGTCTTTTATGTAAAAAATCTTTATGCATTTTAAGGTGTAGGATTCATGCAGTTCATACTTGTTTGCTTTTTTTTTAGGCATGCTAAAACTACTAAATCACAACAGATTTGAAAAATCTAGTTTTTGGTGTATGACCATTAAATGGTTCTCAAACTAAACCTATGGAGTGTGTATTATCTGAAGGATGGTGACTTGATACACGTGGTGCCTGGAACATGCACAGTGTTCTAAACATCATGTAGTCAACCAGAAGATAGACGTGTTAATGAACATCAACAGACCCGAATCTACGGACTGAAATAACACACAGACAAAATGACTTACAGGTTCATCATATCAAAGAGGTAATCATTTGTGACTTTGTAACCTTTTAAGATTAAAACATTGTATATTGTATTTTATTTAACTAAAGTATGGTTTTTTAAAAACATAGCTTTCTGGATATGAAACATTTAGTTAACATTGCTGTTCAGTACCTTATTTTATCTTTTTGGTATGTTTGCATATCATATCCAGAGCTACAGAATTTCCACAGTGCTTCTCTGCCTCATTCAAGTATAATAAAAGTAGAAATCTATAGAAGCTCTAAGGTTAAACAAACTGTACATCATACAAAATTAACTTAATATACAGTCAAAAAGTATTGGCAATGTCCTTTATAAATCTTAGCAAAGATTCATTACAAAGGATGTAACAATCTGCATACATGGTCATCACCATACAAATGCCATTTAGATTTATGTGGTGCAGAACTATCTGTTAAGTGTACACATGTAGAATCAGCATTTTGCACTATGTACATCTCTTTTAAAGTAACAGTATAGTCACTACTAAGCTAAGGTACAGAATTTCCTTATTGCATATTTATTGTTGCTGAGGCAGTTAGTTATGATACAACAATGTAACATCCATAATTATTTTAAATAAACAAAAAATCTCTCCTACAAACAATATAAAGAATATCTTTCTCTAAAATCACACAGAACACTGCTACATACAGTTTTACGCAAATACTGAAAAACATGATCTTAAGGCATCTGCCAGAAAAAGATTGCGTATTTATATTAACTAAATTACGCAAGAAAAAAATATTGCACAAATCCTATTATTTTCAAAATAAAATACGCTTCTGTCTAAATGCACACAATTTCCTACTTCTTGACCAAATCAAAATGTTAACTCGTTTGCTCAAAACATACACTAATGACATCACCGGGTTTGACATGGGAAAGATGTCAGTACTGACATCTACTTTCTATATTAAGAAGTTCTTTGGGGAGATTAGATTTGGGAATTTATTTTACATTCTTAAATTTATATCCTGATTTACAGTTATCTACTCAGAATCAGAGTCTTTAATGCAGAATGAAAAGGAATTTGCATTAGAAAATTTATTTCCTGAAAATAATCATTCTTTTCCTGAAAACCCAAAATTTCTAGAAGACAGTGAAGGTCTATTGATTATGAGAATATTCACAGTTTTCTCCTCTTGATCAGGAGTCTACTTCTTCACCTTATTTAAGAGACAACTAATTCATCAGTATTCCTGGATTCTATTATCAGAATATTAGTACAGAAGCCTAATAACAGTACTATCACATAGTTTCAATTTTAAAAGGGGTGGGGGCTATTTCTGGGAATGCTCTTATTAATATAAAAACCAGTAAAACCTGGATTTCCATCAACATGCATCCACACTCTGTTAGTCCTAAACTGAGTAAAGTGGTCCTAAGTATTGGAAAGGAACATCATTCCATTATAGAGGGCCCTGTGCTAGCTGGTTAAAAGATGAGCAGAATGGTGACAGAGAATCAGATAAACAATGACACTCATTTTCTAAAAGTGGTATCTTAGGTAGCAGCATTATTATACTCAGCATAATAATAGAGAAATAAAGTTACTGAAATTAAAATGACACTATGGTTCTGTACTTAGAGCATGCTTTAGATTAAGCAGCTATAAAAAACTCTTACTGGTTTTTGATGTTTAGAATGTTGGGCTAATTACTTCTAAGCAAAGTATTATTTTATTATTATTTTAAAAGAGATCTGCAATTCCTTTTAGTTGGTTCCTTCAGAGTAGGGACTATTTCAATTCTTTTAGTTCCCCACATTCTCAGTTACCATATATCTTAGCTACCTAGTGCTGCTATAACAGAAATACCGCAAGTGGGTGGCATTCACTAACAGAAATTTATTTTCTCACAGTTTAGGAGGCTAGAAGTCCAAATTCAGGGTGCTGGCTCTCTAGGGGAAGGTTTTCTCTCTCTATTGGCTCTGGATGAAGGTCCTTGTCTCTTCTGAGCTTCTGCTCCTGGTAAATCTTCAAATGGCTTGGCATCTCTCTTCCCCCATCTCTTCTTGCTTGCTTGTTTAATCTCTTTTATATCTCAAAAGATATTGACTCAAGACACACCTACACTAATCTTGCCTCATTAACATAACAAATACAACCCATTCCCAAACGGAATTATAATCACAGGCATAGAGGTTAGAAATTACAAGACATATTTTGGAGGAGACACAATTCAGTCCATAACACCGTACCTTGAATTTTACTGGGACAAAGATTTGATAAATATTTTCTAAATAAATGAGCTCTACAATTTTCAATCAGAAAAATAATCGTGCTACATTTTGGCGCCTTTCTAAAATATGCCAAAGTAGGTAGTCATCAAAATATATATAAAACCTAACAACACTTAACAGAATCATAGCTCCTAAATTCATACAGCATTCTTCTATATCCCTGAAATACCACGGTGCAATATCTAAGGGCAAAAGGACAAAGGATAGAGTAGAATTCAGAGAGAATAATAATTCAGTTTTAGGAGCCATATAAAAGACTGTGTACCAAAGTCAAATGTCTTAATTCATTTATACAATTCTGGTGTAACAAGCGTTGCTTCTTTGAAAAAAATTTTTTTTTTCAACAGAACTGCAAGGAAGCTTACAAATATTTGGTTTAGTTGCAATAGAAAATATGAACATGGTAGAAAATGAGATAACACTTTTATTTCAGAACTCGCCTAAATTTTACTTCATTCTCACTATATGCACCATAATACTGGGAAGGCTAGTTTAAGAGCAGACTGAGAATACTCAAAATACTTAATGGCTTAAAAAACATCAATAATCCTTGCTACTGATCTTCTGGATTTTGTTTAAGAATAACATGTAGACTTTCTGTTTTGGTTTTTAAAGACAATAGCTGATTTTGTATGTTAAACTAAGGCACAAGTCACTTTAAAATACCTTGTGGCAAATAACATTACTTGTTGCTGGCTAAATATGCCCCAATCAACACAGCAGTGTAGCCAAACATCTTGGAAGGGGACTGAAAGATACAAAAACAAAATAAAACAACAACAACAAAAAATTTACATTTCTGAGGCCATGGTGTTTATTAAGCAAATGGACTAAAATCCAAATATGGCCTGTGCTGCTCCAGAGATCTCATTCTTCAAACTATCAATTCTGAAGCAAAAATACTCATTCCAAAGTTCATATGAAAAGACTGCTGTGCATTCTTTTCATAAACTATGAAGAAGTATTTGCTAAGGAGTTTAACAGAGTGAACTTTTTTCCCTCTCATTTAAAAGAGCTTTTCTGATATATGGTCTTCTTTTATTACATACTTCAATAAAGTAAAATGTATTTTGTAATCATCATATAAAGGCAAAATTTGACAAGAAGCATGAGTTCTACTTTTGTGTTAAAAAAATAAGGATTAACACTTTTTTTCCTTAATATATATAGACAAAGTCCATCCTTAAAAGGAAAACAAGATTTGTCTTCCTTTATAAACCATGAATGGGTAACTGTCCCAAATAAAAATATCCATTTAGATTTTGGAATGTAATTTAAAAAAAAACAAAAACAATTTGGTAATTTTCTTTAAGTGGTTTAAAGACTGACCTGAATATACATTTTTAAGCAATGTTTTTAACAAACCGCTTTCCAGGATTTTTTTAAACTAAAAATTATATCTTAGAGTACAGTCCTGATGGGATTCTCGAATGGTCTCTCAAACATCTTTTCTAATAAGACGATTAAAAAAGTAATCATCCATGATTGGCAATGTATAGAGTAGAGATAGCTGAACATTTACCAATACCAAATTAACTACCACATCATTGTTTCTCCTCCCTAATTATATCTGTCAATCTTTAATCTAACCTACCATGAAGCGCAATAACTGGTTGGGTTTATTGTAAAGCAATCAATGCGTGATTCCTTCTCAGATGAATTTCAAAGCTTAAATGTGAATTTGAGGAAAAGAGACAAATCTCCTGTACAGAAGAATTCCAAATAGTTTATATAAATAACTCTGTCATACAGTGGGGTGGGAGATGGGAAGGAGGCACAACTCCCTACTCCTTAGGTGTTGTGGACTGTTCATAGTGACTGCCTTCCAAAGAGTGCAGTACAGAAAGGGGATCAAAAAAGCAATTTTACAGTGGAAAAACCTAACAAACACTACCTTGGCCAGGTCATCAAAGTCAGTATCAACATTATAAATCATATTAGTATGTGCCTTGGCATGATGAAAATGGCAGTTTATCTTTGTGATCTTCCTTCCAAAAATGCATAAGCCCAGTCTAATCATAACAAAAACATGAGACAAATTCCAACCGAGGGGTATCCTATAATATACCTGACCAGGACTCCTCAAAACTGTCAAGGTCATCAAAAAAAAGGAAAGTCTATAGAAATTGCCGCAGCCAAGAGAAGCCTAAAAAGACCTGACAGCTATATGTAACATGGAATCCTGGATGGGACTCCAGAGCAGAAAAGGACATTGGGTAAAACTAAGGAGAGCCGAATAAAGTATGGACTTCACTAAATAATAATTTATCCATAATGGTTCATTGGTTTTAACAAATGTACCATGCTAATGTAAGACACTGATAATATGGGGAACTGACAGAGGAGGGGGTATAATATAGAACTTTTCAGTTTTTATGTACACCTAAAATTTCTAAGAAAATAAGTTATTTTTAGAAAGTAAATTTCAGGTGATGATATGAAGCTTTTTGATAGAGAATTACTAGTAATTAAAAAAAAAAAAGACATGACTTTTTTATCATGACAGTTTATGTTGCATTTGGCATTTGGGGATGGACTCCTAGTCAGCAAAGGTATACAGACAGACTGAACAATGTGTAAAGTGTCTCATTTGTAAACAGAAGTCATCAACTTCACATTGTAATTCAGCATTTCATATATTTCACTGAACGAAAGATAAGTGTGTACCTTTGTAATTTTTGGGGAAGCATGGTTGCAACGTCCTTCTATAAACTAACTAAATATTTCTACAAGTGAACTTTTTAACTTTGAAAAGATGAATTCTGACCTTGATTCAAAAGTAGGAAAAGTCATTACTGCTCTGCAGAACACTAATAACTTATCTTGCAAAAACGTACACGTAATTTCATAAATTATTTAAGTATACTTAATATAGGCTTAAGATTAAGGCAATTAGTAGGTCAACAGTTTCAAGCTAGATTTGATTTTTTGATCAGTTCATGCTCAACCAGACTGGTACAGTAGCTACTGGCTACATGCAAGGGTTCTATATGCATACTTAGTTTAAATAAAACGAATGGCATTAAGCACCAAATACTGGAAAGTCCTATGTTCAATACATACTTTCAACATACATACAAACTAGTACCTGATTTAAGAGCGCTGTAGAAGAATTAGCTTTACAGTTAAAAATCAATGGATAACATATATCCATGAGATGAAGAAATAGAAACATATGCTCCAAATGAAAAATAAGTCTCAAATAGTAGTAAGAGTTGTCATTCCTACAAATACTTCCGTTTACTATACAGATTACATGTAATCCTAAAACATCTCCAGAGAAGCTTGGATGCAAGTGGCTGACCCTTAATTGTTGATTTAAGCTTGGTTTCCACTTGTATTTTCTTCCGAAATGTTTAAACCTTGTTGGAAGGCAGACGTTATGTGACATAGTGACACTACTTCATGAAGCAGCCCGGTGTCTTCTGAAGTCTCCTGGGCTTCCATCCCTTCTTTTTCCCAAGGAACAAAAGTAGATGGGCATCGTCCCAGGCTGGGTTTAAGCAGATCATCTGAAATCTGGCTTAGTGTTTCTTTCTTTTCTGTTTTTCCTTGATTAGTCTGGGAAATTTCAGGAGGAGCTAGCTGGAAATCCAGTCCTGAAGCTGAAGCTGGCTTTCCCACCGCAGTAGGACCATTTACATTGTCAGCGCCGAGGGCTTTTTCACTGTTTTCCTTTTTCAGCATAAACAGTGAATCTGTGAAACCACTAGAGGACGCCTGCTTCTTTGGAGATGGAGGAAGATGTTTACCACGGAGGGCGCTGTCATCCTGACCGAGATTCCACTCTGCTTGGTCACCAGAACCACCACAAAGCAGGGCCAGATTATTCTCACTAGGAGCATTGGATTTGTTCTGAAAGAACATACAACAAATTCAGAAAATGTTTATAACATTAGAGCATTACTTTAGTGATATTTCCTTTTTCCATTTTGAAATCAAAGTTAATGTCTTCCAAGGATGGGAACTTGAAGTTCTTCCCTGAGGAACCAGAACATTGACAGTTAATTCTGAATTCCTACAAATGGCTCTATTAACAAGACTATTAAATAGAAAGAAATGGGATGGATTTTGGTTCCCATCTCCTTGTAATTCTCACCTAGAAAATTCAAACTAGGTTATATAATCAATGTCAAGAGCCGGAGTCACAGTAAGAACAGGGCTGCCATTACTCATACACTCTCGTGTTTACAAAGCATTCATTCAATTGTTCATTTTTGAAGCAATAAAATGGAAAAATAATTTCAATGAATACATTTTATTAAAATATTTTTGAAGACTCAAGCAATATAGAAAAGCTAGAAAATTTTGTTTTTTAAAAATTCCCCAGAGAAGACAACTATAAAATTAGATTGCAAGAAAATATGACTTGACAAAAGAATTTCAATTAATGACAATAACCACTAGAATTGGATAAATGAAAGGGAAAATATTGGAATTTTATTACTAGAGGTAATTCTTAGTGATTAAATTTTAACATGTTTTTGAAGTGTAGACCTTTACCTTTTAGAGATTAAATATTTCCACCAACTAAAGTTGTAAGAGCAGGCAATCACAAGAAGGGCAAGAATGTTTTCATTTAATTTTATAAGTTGAAAAATCAACTAACCGTAGATTTGTAATCAATATCATCCATTGATCTAAAGAAATCCAAGCTCCTTGCAGCTGCGAGCTTTCCTTGATCTGAGCTGTGTGTGCTCAGTGTATCGAGGATCTCTCCTAGTAAGTCCATTTCACCTGAGTAAGGAGGCTTTACTCTTGTTTCAATAGAATCATCACTTTCATAAAAGTAAGCAGAAGCTTCTTCGCCATCTTCAGAAGATAACCTGAAGAAAAAGAAAATATGCAAGAGTAGCTGTAGGAGGAGACAGTTTTAAACCAAAGTGCTATTTCAGCTGAACAACAACAAAAGCAATAATTGGTTCATGGCCAAATTCTTTACAGTGATGTATACACCAATTTAAATACTAGAAGTTTTGAGAGCATGCATTTAAAAACAAACAAAAAGTTTATGGTACCTTGTCAAGCTGGAAGCAGAAGTGGGGTTTTTTTCACAAACAGCTTAATTTTGTGGGAGTTGAGGCCTTTCCCTTAGAAATACTAGATTTAACACTTGGAACATTTGCTATAGCTTCAACTCACTTTCGATATTTTTATATGGTTTTCCTTTAAGTAAGTTATTTATTTACTTAAAGAACAATGTATATTCTTTTATACTGACAGACATACACTTAAAGGAGAAAGAGTGTCTATTTTGTCATTGCATATTTTAAAATTGTCAGAAAGTTACATATACTATTATTATTTTTACCCTTATTTTATATTAAAATTAAGTTTTTTGAACATTTTGTATTAAATTTGCTCTTTCGATATAACCCTGTATCTACTCCCTTCCCGACAATTCCATTTGGTTCAATTAATTATCATCACTGTTCCTGATACTTAACCTGCCCGTCTTCAGCAGGAACACAAAAGGCTAACTGAGATAGGCTTCTTTTTCCCCTTGAATGTAATTTCAGATATTTCCGTAAGCATTATTGTCTTCCAAGAACAACACGATCTTTCAAGCCTTGTTTTGCTTTCCCCGTCCCAAGATTTATCCCTCACGACGCTCCAAAAAAGCACTGGTTCTTTTTGCTGAAGAACATTACAAGGGAGCTTCTATTTGACCTCTGGAAGTGTACATCCTTTGAAACATCCTTTGTAACCTGGAACTTCTGCCATTACATCACAGCACTTAACAGGCCACCAAAATCCATCACTTACTTGCTTGCTCTTTCTATGTCATCATCATTGTCATCATACAGGGCACTATCAAGGCTCTTCAGAGGCCTTTTTAAGTGTGTCTAGAGAGTAGAATTGACAATAAATTAGAATTAACAGTCCAAAGAAGTCTCTTTAGTAAATTTTAAAGAAACAATTTTATATGGCACAGTTAAAACTAATATGCATTCAGGATGTTTGAATACTACTCAGTAACTTGACAAACTGGGGCAGGAGGAAATTGCTTAATATTTATCTCAACCATTTACTAGCTCTTCAAACTAATTAATAAAACCACTGTCTTTAATACATATATACATATATTCAGTCACAGAGTCTTATCAGACCCTGATTTAGGAATACTTTTGACTTACAATCATATCATACCCCCACTTACCCAGTTTGAACAATTACCAGTGTTTGCTAATCTTATTTCTTTTATCTCCCATCCACACTCTCCCCAACCTAAAAAATTTTACCCTAAGAATCTCTAACAGAGAGCTATAGGGTTTTTTTTTTTAAACTATTATGATTTTTACATATTCCATATGGGTCAACCCATCCGAGTTCTTCTTCTTGATGTTCAAACTCTCATCTCTCAATTATATCATGACTATGTTTTTTTTTTTTTTTAAAGTAATTATCTTGGAGTTCCGGCAAAATGGCGCTCTAGGCGGAAGCACCACGCCGTCCCTCCACAGCAAAGATCCGAAAAACTAAGCTGAACAGAGAATACAACAATCCTGAAACCCTAAAACATCAAATGAAGAGATAAAGAACTCAGCCAAGCACCAAATGCAGTGAGAAAACTGACAGAGAACAGAGAGCAAGGGGAGATTCATGCAGAGGTCCCCTACCAGCTAACGCAGCACGGATCCACCGTCTTGGACTCCTATCGGAGACCAGCAACAGGGGGGTATGAGAAAGCAGCCTCACGGAGCATCCAGTGGGAGACAAAACAACCGGTAATCTGTGATATACACTTTCCCACCCCCCCCCCTTCTTCACCCCGACTCGGCCTCCTCTGCTTCCCGCAGCCACAATCTCTTGACCGGGAAACACCGGCTGCTTGGATTCCACACACCCAAACGGGCAGGCTCTC